GGCAGCAACTCCTCAACTCGGCGGCTTGCTGCCTGGACGTGTCCGGACCAACTTAGCTTCTCTCTGGCCGCCTCTCTGGTCCCCACGCACTGCTTTCGCACTCGCATTTCACCCTGGACGGAAGCCTCCGGAGATGCAGCCACCTGGGGCTGCCCGGTGCGGGCCGATCGCACTCTGGCTGGGGCCATGCTGACGATCCGAGGGGGGCAAAGTTGGTACCGGAGACTCTCGGCTCTTAAGAAATATACCCAATTGCCTGGGGATTACGGAGCTGTCGGGGACTTTAAAGCGACGCTTTGAAGGTTCGACTGGGCTGGTGAGTTTTTTGTTTGTGTAATGTTTGCCTTTTCATCTTTTTTAAGTTTACACCTAAATGAAATGACGTGGGACGTTTGGCTTTCATCTAGTGTCGGGAAAACGTGTGCATCCTACAAGGCTTCTCGGCTCGGGAAGCCGCACACCCTCTGTGCACGGCGCGGGAATGAAAGATCTTTCGTGCATAGTTTTTGGCATTCATAAAATACTTACAGAGCACTGTTCAAAAGAACTTGAGGAGCTACGATGTTTGTGCATGATTTTCCACCTAACTTATTATAGAAATGGTGCCGGCGAGGGCGCTCCGGGAGGCGCGGGATCTGCAGTGGCGCAGCGCCCTCTAGTCCAGGCACCCGGCAAAGCGCGCTCCCTCCCCGCTTCCGCGGGGACCGCGAACTTGGAGCCTACAGTAGCCCTGGAGACTTGGGGGCGCGACGTCTGTCGCCTCCACTCTCATCTCCACTTGCCACCCATCCTGGTCTGTTCTTTAACCGATTTCCAGATACAGTCCCGGTGAAATGTTACCCGAGCGGTTGCTGTAGGAAAACATTTTTCTTTCGGGAACCCTCCCCGAACCTCTATTTCTGAAGGGGCAAACTTGGAACTTGAACCGTATTTTCCTTGCGGGGGCAGGTGATTCCACGGGAGTCGGAAAGACACCTGGGTTTGGGTCCAAAGGATCGAAGGATCCGTTCGGGAGGGGGCGAGGGGAGTGGCAGCGAACGAGCTGGAAATCTCATCTCTGGCTCTTGGCGTCGAAGTACAACTTCTTTCCAGGCTCACTGGTTTCTCAGTGAGCCTGGAAAACCAGGATTCCCAAACAGAGGGTTTAGCCCCTGTAAGCGCTTTCTGTTTATGAATGATAATTTTCTTCAGAAGCCATTGAAGAAATCACGTGTTTTATTTTATGATACAGCTTATTACTTTTCTCCCTGCCTCCTGCAACACTGTCTTGAGCGGTTGTGTTCTGCCAAGTTAGGATTTGGCAAGGGGAGCAAACCAAGGTTAGTTTGCAGATCACTGTCCATTTTCGAGATGTTACACGTGTATGAAATTGGCCTCCTTCTCCAGGATCACTTGGCGCAGTTAATGGCTGTGGCCAAGTCTTTGGAAGATGGTGTTTGTGTGTGCTGTATGTCTGTGTATCTTAGTACGTAGAAAATACACCCACACATGCTTAGTGGTACAAATGAGCATGCATTATTTTAGTCACAACCTGATAATTTTATTTTTTCAATCCCCTTCAAAATGTCTGCAGGGATGAGCATTCATTCTGAAGTAAGGCAATT